CGGGAGGCGCCGGGAAAATTATCTACGTGAGCTGATTCTCAAACCCCCCCTTTGCTATCCCACCCTTTCGCCCGACCCGAGCGTCGCAATACTCCACTCAGAACCGTTAAGTGTCGTGTCCACCACTGGGCGCGTGCGTCTCGTGATCGCTGTCGGCGCCGATGGGTGGCCACATGCAGTGGCGGCGCCCTGACCTGCGGCCCGTTTGCGCGGCATGCGCCCGAGGGGAACCTCGCCACGGTGTCTGCTGCTCGTGTGCTCGACGAGGGAGGAGGACGAGGACGAGGACGAGGAGGAGGAGGAGGAGGAGGAGGACGTCCTGAAGCGGCCACGGCGCCCGATGCATGCTCTAGGCCCTCCGGCTCTCGGAAGTTCCTGGTGCACGATTGGCATCCTCGGCCGGACTTGTGTCTTATGTTGGCGCCTGCAGCCTCAGGCCCAAGGGTACCCCAGATTTCGTAAATGAAGGGAGGGGGGGTCTCATTTCGGGGGGGGGGGTCTCTTCCAGGCTATCTTGGAGGGCCTGGTGGGGTCTGGGGACGATGTTTTGGAGGGTTCTCCCACGGGGGAGGTCTGAAATGGCTTGTCCTGGAGGGTCCAGACCCCCTCCCTTTTATTACGAAATATGGAGTACCTGATACTGAGGCGGAGTGCGTTTCTTTGAGCCGCAATGCTACGGAGGACAGCAGCGGAGGGTGCACATATCCTAGACAACTAGCCCCAGGCGTAAACCCGATCTCCTCACGCGTGCGACACCACAGGTCGGCAGGAATGGCAACACTTGGCATGGGAGTCGGGGTCCTGGGGCCAGTATGGGTTCCTTCGGACGTGCGGGAGGGCTCAACAGGCTCTGGCTCTCGGGTGGCCGAATTATCACACCTGTAACTGTCAAGTCCTACTTCGAGGGGCTAGCTCGAATTGGGGTGAGGGCTCTCTTGGCAGTGACGCTGTGAAACCCTTCCCTGGCTGTCAATAGCATTTTGGGCGGCCTCGGTGAGCTTGCTGTCGCCGTCACTGGGCCTGGACACGGTGGTCTGGCGGTCGTTGGAGGGGGAGGGACGACAGGAGGGGCAAAGGAGATAAGCAAACGAAATCTGATTCATCAGCCCAAGGGTCTGGCTCGTCTGGCCACTCAGGCTGGTCTACTTGGGTGTCCTCAACATCGCCTGACCCCTCAGGCTCCTGGGCACCATCTAGTTCAAACTTGTGATTGGAAGTCGACTGTCGCTTATCAAAACAGTCCCCGAAGAGAGCAGTAAGTTGTTGGCAGCGCTTTTCATTGGCCTCTTGTTGGGCCATCTGGCGCTGAGCCTTCATCCTACTATTCTTAGGCCCCAAGACAGGAGAAGCACACGGACGCCCAACCTGGGGGAGCCTACGAGGCTTATCCAAGACACGCGTGAGAAGCTGAGGAGGAGGAGGAGGAGGAGGAAGAGCAGCAGCAGCAGGAGCAGGAAGAGAAGGAGGAGGAGGAAGGAGGGGGAGGAGGAGGAGGACGAGGAGGAGGAAGAGAGGGAAAAGGAGGAGGAAAAGGAGAGGAGGAGGAGGAGGAGGAGCAGGAGCAGGAGCAGGAGCAGGAAGAGAGCAGGAGGAGGAGGATGAGAGGAGGAGGAGGAGGAGGAGGAGGAGGGGGTAGGAGAGGAGGAGGAGGGAGGAGAGGAGGAGAGGAGGAGGAGGAGGAGGGGAAGAGGAGGAGGAGGAGGAGGAGGAGGAAGGGGCCGAGGGCGGACGGCCGCGCGCGGCTCCCACGGCGCCGCTGTGCGAGGCGGGCCGCGCAGGCCACGCCCCAGCGGTGGAGCCCCCCGGCGCTGCCGCGGCTGAGGCTCGGAGGGGGGGGACGCCGGCTGCCCCCTCGGGTGGGGGGGGCGTTCAGTGAGATGTCGGCAGTGGCGCGCTGAGGAGCGGGACGCTCCCTCCTTCCAGGTCGATCCGATGCTCCTCCTCCTCCTCCTCCCCTCCCTTCCTCCTCCTGCTGCACCTCCTCCTGCTCCTCCTCCTCCTCCTCCTCCTCCTCCTCCTCCTCCTCCTCCTCCTCCTCCTCCTCCTCCCTCCGACCTCTCTCTCCTCCTCCTCCTCCTCCTCCTGCTCTCCTCCTGCTCCTCCTCCTGCTCCTGCCCTTCCTGCTCCTTCTCCTGCTTCCTCCCTCCCTCCCTCCCTCCTTCCCTTCCTCCCTCCCTCCCTCCCTCGGAGGGGTCCCATGATTATGAGATCCTACCGACGTAGTTTCTCCACAGCGGGCGATTTCGCCCGGTTATGGGCCCCGGGGCCAGCACAGACCGATCCGGCTCTGGCGTAATGTTTTCGCATTTGCTCACTTGGGAGGAGTCTCCTGCTTGGCATCGCTCGGACGTGTGCATTTTTCCTTCGGCGAGGGCCATCGAGGAGCATCCTTGATCATTTGGCGAGAAAAACACGCACGAAACTGGAAAAAAACACATGGAATGGACGTCCGAGCGATGGCGAGCTTGATGGGATCCGAGCAGATGGAACCGAAGACCGCGCCGCATCGCCGATACGGCTCGATGTGTGGCCCGAGTGTCTCCACGCCGACGGCATCGATGCATCGCCGACGTCGCCAATGCATCGCCGATTCGTCCGAGATGCGGCGCGATCCACCGACTCCATGTGTTCGGACCCCGTTTGGGAGGCCTACAACTCGAGAGGTGGCTCTGGAGGCTCTCCGTCGTTTTCGAGCTCGGGCCCCGGGACCGTCAAGAAGGTGTTCGGGATTGAAAGCTCGTCGCAGAGGAAGCCATGCGGTCCTCTTTCCTTCATCAAGCCGACAGATCGGGGCGCCGTGCGGAGAAAAGCAGGGCTGGCCATAGGTCCAGCATGTCACCCTGCAGGCGGATTTTGGGCAACAAATGTCGAAACGTACGCAAAAATATTCGAAGACCCGTCCCCCTGCTATTTCTGACTATGTTTGATCCCTCCTCATGTACAGGGGCACGCCCGACTTCAGGCTGGCCCCTTCTGCCCCGGTGTCAGGCCCGCGGGCCCTCGCGGGCGGGACCAGCTCGCGAGCGGCGCCGCCCAGAGATCGGGCCGGGAGCCCCGGTCCTGAGCCGGCCCACGCCGCCGCGGTGCGCCCCGCGGCGTCGGACCGCCACTGGCAGCCAGGACGACGTGCAGGGAAGGGCGGCTGGCAGGGACGCCAGCCCAGTCGGAGGCCGAAGCGGGGCTTCCGTGGGCGGCCGGCGGCCAGGGAGAGCGGCAGAGGGCCGCAGAGGCAGGGACAGAGACAGGGGCACCCTTGGAGGAAGCCGCAGGTCCTCGCTGACTGTGACATGCGACGACGTGGGCCCTCCTCCTCCTCCTCCTCCTCCTCCTCCTCCTCCTCCTCCTCCTCCTCCTCCTCCTCCTCCTCCTCCTCCTCCTCCTCCCCTCTCGCCCTGCCCTCGCCTATGAACCCTTAGATAGGCCCGCCGACTGCGACGTGCGACGACGCCGCTTTTGCTCCGCGACGTGGGAGGCTCGAGCCCCTCCCCCCGCGGCGCTCCCCGCGCCTCCCGAGGCGCTCCCCGACGGCCCCCCTGGGCCAGTCGGGAGCGGAAAAGAGGGGGGTGATGACTAGGAGGGGGGTGGATTTCATGGCGCGGGCCATGATTTTTCCTCAGATTTCATGGCGCCTCTTCTCATTCTATTACGTACCAGGCCCCCCCGCTGGGCCGCGCACATGCCGCCGGTCATGATTTGCACCCCCCCCTCTTGGACACCCCTCTCTTGGCCGCTCCCGAGCCAGGAGAGGCCGCGAGGAGACTCGCAGGGCCCTCCCGGAGCGCCGTGCTCCGGCGGCGCCCAGACCTGCCGGCCCCAAGAACAGACGACCCCACGTCGATGCCTCCTTCCGCTTCTGCCCTCCCATGCCCTTGCCTGCTTCCTGGGGGAGGGAAGGGGGGCGAGGGAGGAGGTGGTGGTGGTGGTGGTGGTGGTGGTGGTGGTGGTGGTGGTGTGTATGTATGGGGGCCCCGCAAGATCTGAGGGTCTGGGGCACCCCGGTCCTCGCCAGGCCAGGGTCGGTCGGGAGCCTTGGGACGGGGGTCAGTGCAAACGGGGGTCAGCCAGAGCGCCGGATCTTGCAGGATCCTGCAGGGCCAGGGTCGCGTTGACCCAGGCTTGGGCGCAGGATCCTGCAGGATCTTGCAGGTTCCTTCGCATTGACTCGGATTTGGGCGCAGGATTTTGCAGGCTCTTGCAGGATTCTGCAAGGCCTGACTGACCTGGGTCTGGATTGACCCGGGTCATAAGATCCCCGAGTCGGCAACCGGCGCCTCTCCCACTCAGGGGCAGCGCCAGGGGAGAATGTGTTTGAGTCGTGCATGTCCTTCTACAGGAGGAGTGTTCCAAAATAGTCAAAGCATCGTCTGGGGACGAATAGTTTTCTATGTTCGATTTTTCTTGACTAACTTTTTTTGTTTGAGTTTTCCATGTTTCCTTCCAAGCTCCGCCTGTAGGTGGACATGCCCGACCTAAGGATAGGCCCAGGGGGGGGGGAGCCTCCATCCCCAGTCGCACCTCCAGCGCCGACCCCGGGGCCCGATGGTCTTCCCCGCCGAGGAGCGTGCGGCGCCGCTCTCGGGGGCCTATCGCCGATCTGTCGGCGATGCATCGCCGATTCCGGGTCGATGCTCCCCCTCGATCTGGTCCCCTCTTAATTCGACGACGGGACCAAACGGCAATCAGCATAAGCTTGTGGCACTCCGCGCCAAAAAAATATGCGAATGCTTTGCAATCGTTTATTATTATTAGCACGTATTGCTATAATTATTATTATTAGTAGTAGTATTAATATTATTACGATTACTCTTATTACTATTATTATTATGATTAGTATTATTATTATGATTATTATTATATTATTATTATTATTATTATTATGTTGTGTCTTCTTCATAGTAATATTAAGATTATTTCTGTGATTACTGTTCTTGAAAATATTAGTAGTATTAGCACTGATCGTATTATTTCTGGTAACGTTGCCCCGTACCCACGAGGGGGAACTACCCGGTGGAGCATCGCCGGGACGCTCGGCGGGATCCCGGCGCAGACGCTGCGCTGCCCTTCGAGGGCTGAGTCGCCCCGGGGCCCTCGCCCTTCGTGCGCCGTGGTCCGCCCGGAGGGCTCACCGTGCACTGCTCCGCGGGCACAGCCCGAGGCACCCGAAGGATGGATTCTTTCGACCGCTCCTCCTCCTCCACCTCCTCCTCCTCCTCCTCCTCCTCCACCCGAAGGATGGATTCTTTCGACCGCTCCTCCTCCTCCACCTCCTCCTCCTCCTCCTCCTCCTCCTCCTCCACCCGAAGGATGGATTCTTTCGACCGCGGCGCGTTTTGTCCGAAAACGAAAAGACGCCATAAGCAGAAACTCTTGGCGCTCCGCGCGGATTTCCTGGATCCGCGCTGGACCCCCGACGCTGACGCGCGGAGAGCGCCAGGGGCGGCGCCGGAGGCGCCGCCAGGGGGGGCCTGGCGCACATCCAAGAAATCCGCGCGGAGCGCCAAAAGTTTATGTCTATGGCGTGTTTGCTCGCTTATGTTATCCTCCATCGTGGCCGCCCCTGAGATCCAAGCGCTAGAGCTTGGTTCACACCGTTCGATGGTTGTTCGAACCAGGCGCTTTCGCCCAGCTTCGAGATCGGGACCATCACATCTCGATCCAGCTCGGAAAAATGTTGCAGAACGATTGGGTCAAGGGCTCCGGCCAGCATTTTTCACGATGTTGCACTCCACGACGTCAAGTTTCAGGGCCCGGGGGACCTTCAAGAACTGATCTGCGGCGGAAAAGTACCCCCAGGGCAAGTGGTCGGTCCCCCCAGGGCCGCGGGTTGGAACAGAATCACCTTGGCGGACGGCCCTGCGCCCGTCAAGAACGGATCGGGGACAGAAACGTACCCCCAGGGCAAGGGTTGAGTCGGGCGTGGCCCCTACAGGAGGAAGATTCAAAACAGGGAAAAAGAAAATAGTGTGGGGACAGGTTGTTGAGCATTTTTTGGGCTATGTTTGAACATGTTCCGATGTTTCGTCCAAGATCTGCCTGTAGGGGGCCCTGCCCGACCTCAGGCAAGGGTTCGATACCCCTGGGGGCCGCGGAGTGGAGCAGAATCGCCTCGTGCGGGTGCCTGGGGCGGTGGGCAGGCGCGTCGGCGCAACAGGCGCCGGCTCGGCTGCCGGCCGGGCGCCCCCCCGAGGGCGCTGCGGAAAAGAGCCCTCGCACCGCGTCGGCGCTGCTCGGGCCGCATGCTGTGCTCTACCTAACTAGCGTTAAGTCGGGCGTGTCCCCCTACAGGGGGATTTTCGACGAAAAATAAAAAGTACCCCAAAAATACCTCAAAAAGGTCAAACATATTATAAAAACACACACACACACAAAAAAATCCCCAGACTAATTTTGGATTATTTGTTTGTTATTTTTGGGGTATCTTTTATTCGTCGTCGAAAATCCCCCTGTAGGGGGACAGGCCCGACTTGAATTCTAACTAGCGTTGCCTCGATACGATGTGCCGTGTAGCTGTGCGGCTCTGCACATCTTGGATGCAAGCGCCATGCAAAGCAGCAAGCAGCGGAAAGGCAATACCAAGAAAGGGTTTGTGTGTTCTGGGAGCCGCGCCCGCGCCGAGCACGAGCGGATGTCGTCTGCTGCTTCTCATTCTCCCTCCACCTCATCCCCGACGCCTCAGAGCAATCCCATTGCGAAGACCTTACGGCCAGCGCCGCCAATCCTGAAGGGGGAGGAGGACGACGACGACGACGACGACGTCTGTTGCTTCTCATCCTCCCCCCACCACATCCCCGACGCCTCAGAGCAACCCGATTTGTTGTGCGATCGTTGGTCCTCAAAGAAAGGCCCGAGGGCCCCTGGTCCGCCTGCAGGGAGGAGGGAGGAGGGGGGAGGGACAAGCTAGGTGCGCTCGCGTCATATCTGAGGTCCTACCCCTCCCTCCCATCCCTTACCATGGCGTAGATCCCCCTCTATTCGCACAATCGGATGTCGTGGCATGGCATCGCATTACATGGCATTGCATGGTGTTGAAGCCTAACAAGTAGAATGAAATAGTATGGCGTGGCGACGCCCCAAAGTGAGGGGGGGCTTCTGCGGCCCAAAATGTCAACGAATCGGCACCGAATGTGGAATCACTTCCGATGGTTTTTTCGGGAGGCCATTTTCAAGATTTTGGGGCCGATTTGGAAGGACCGAAAACCATACCGTGGCACGGTACTGGAAATAATGACACCAGCGCTGCAGCGGAAGCACGGTTCGGAGCGAGCGGAAGCGCGGAAATGAGGCCAGCGTTGCAGCGGGAGCACGATTCGGAACGAGCGGTAGCCCGAAAATGAGGCCAGCGCTTCGGCGAGAGCAGCAGCATTGTGAAAAACCCAAGCGCGGAAGCGCGGAAATGAAGATGCGCAGCCTGACATAGCATGGCGTGGCGACGCCCCAAAGTGGGGGGGGGCTTCTGCGGCCCAAAATGTCAACGAATCGGCACCGAATGTGGAATCACCTCCGATGGTTTTTTCGGGAGGCCATTTTTCCAGATTTTGGGGCCTATTTGGAAGGACCGAAAACCATGCCGTGGCACGGCGCTGGAAATAATGACGCCAGCGCTGCAGCGGGAGCACGGTTCGGAACGAGCGGAAGCGCGGAAATGAGGCCAGCGCTGCAGCGGGAGCACGATTCGGAACGAGCGGTAGCCCGAAAATGAGGCCAGCGCGTCGGCGAGGGCAGCATTGTGAAAAACACCCCAAGCGAAAACCCAGTTCCCGGGAATCTTGCGTGCAAAAAAAACGATACGCGGAGGGGGGCCGGCCATTTCCCAGACGCCAGCAGGGGAGAGAGGAGAGCAGTACTCATATTGCTTAGATTGCGGAGGGAGGAGGGAGGGAGGAGGGAGGAGGGAGGAGGGAAGGGAGGGAAGGGAGGGAAGGGAGGGAAGGGAGGGAAGGGATGGAAGGGAGGGAAGGGAGAGAGGGAGGAGGAGGGAGAAGGGAGGAGGGAGGAGGGAGGAGGGAGGACCCGCTCGTGGGAGCGTCCTCGGGCGACGGATGCTGCGTGCGTGCCCGCGCCGAGCACTGGCGAGCCAGCCGCCATGCGGCTCGCTGTCGTCAGCCCTCTCCCGCGGAAGTAGTTGGGGGGTCCTTGAGGCAGAGCCTGACGTGGGGGGAACAGGCAACGTGAAGTCGGGCATGTCCCTCTACAGGAGGAATATTCAAAAATAGTGATAAAAAAGACTGGGGACGATGTTTGAAGTAATGTTGAAATCCGCCTGTAGAAGGACATGCCCACCCTAAAGGTAACGCTTGCGTCCAGTGCCGCCTGATAAGCGGGAGCTTCCCAGGGGCGGCCATGGTGGCGATAGTATTCAGGGGACGCAGATATACCGAACACGCGTCAGGGCCTGACGCGATCCGAATGGATCTGACTCGCAGAGCCCATCTATCCAGTAAGATAACCGGAGCAGGATCCATCACAAGACAGGAGCACGTACGTACGCATTCGCTTGCAGAATGTAGCCAGTTTCAGGCTTGCCAGGTTGGCGAGCTGGCAAACTTGAGGGACCGAAGTTTTAGACAAAGGATGTGTGGGGTCCTGTAAATCGGCCTGGTCGTCATTGAAATCTTGGTATCATGTATCATGCTCATGCACAGGCCCTGTCAATCCACGATTGGAGTTCCACTGGCTTCCAGACCCTGGATTCCCTATCCAATGCTTCCTTTTCCAGTGCCCACACCGTATCGTAGACATGCTTCTTGACGAGTGGGACGTGCACCGTGCAGTTGCGACCTCTCCTGTTCGCCGTTCCGCTCCCCGGATTGAACTGTACACGAAACGTTCGTGTTCATAGCCACGCCTACATTCTTCCCAATTGGCACACCCATACGTTCACCGCGTCCATAGGTACTTCAATATCAACTCATTCGCGAGCTCATTGTCGCACTCGTGCCCATACCCCTCGTCCCAGTTTCCACTCCTCCCTTCACACTCTCTGCCCACTCTTATTTCGTCTGCTCATCATCGTCGTTTTCGTCTTCGCCGCCATCCTCATCCTCCTCCCATATCTCTTGGCTCAAGCGCCTGGCACAGATTGTCCAAGGAGTCTGTTGGATTCGTTGGCCATCCAGCAGGGGCAAGATGGGTTTCTCCAGGAAGGCCTTGAGCTTCCAGCAACGCTATTTTGCGTCGTGGTCGCATATTTTGTTGGTCACAAGCTGTCCCTCAGAGAAGACGCATGGTACAGGTTCAAGACGCCACTGGAGGCAGTGAGAGCGATCGCTTCCATGCAGGAGTCGAAGCTTGAGAGGTTCCTGCTGTCGTACAGAATGCTTGAGATAGATCAGTTCGTAGGCGACCCCGACGAGGTCGGGCTGTTGACCGACTACTACAGTGTGCTGAACCATCTTTGTGCCATTGGAAATTTCGAGAAGATGTACTTGCCGCCCTTCTACGACGCCAGCAGGAACGTGTATGATAATCAGAAATTGCACGAGAAGAAGATGGCAAACTGGCTGGGCATCGGCCCTGGAGACAAGGCTCTGGACATTGGATGTGGCCGTGGTCGGATTGCACACCACGTCGCATCCTACACGGGCGCGCACGTGACAGGCATCAACGTGGACAAAGAGCAAATCAAGCTCGCCAAGGCGCACGCGCAGGACACGGGCCTGTTGGGGAAGTGGGTGGATTTCAAGGAGGCCAACTACAACGACCCGCTGCCTTTTCCAGACAATCATTTCGACGCTGTCTACTACGTCCAGGTCCTCAGCTACTCCACCAACCGCACGGCTTTTTTCAAAGAGGTCATGCGAGAGGTCGAGGATTACGTCCTCGGCACCGAGTACAACAGCAACATCCCGAAGCATGTGGAGCTAAAAAAGTTGTACAAGCTTGTCCTCGGGGGCGTCGAGACGAGCCACCCGTCTGTCTTCAGGGCCGCCGTGGAGGCTGCATCTTCGTTGTCTCGCACCACGCGGACGACAGCATCAACGCCAGGCAGGGCCCGCTCCTCGAGCAGGAGAAGAATTTATGGCTGCCCCTTCACCTCTGCGGTTGGCTTCCTCCATCGCGTCGGAGCGGTGCCGAAGATCTACTTCGACGTGATGGAGCGCATGACCGCGGGCACCGACGCCCTCATCGAGGCGGATAGGGACGGCTGGTCTCGCGCGGCTACGTGACGTTGGCCCAGAAGCCCCCTCGGCGAGGCGCAGGAGAACAGACGCAGGAGAGGGGGAGAAGGAAGAGGAGGCAGGAGGCAAGAGGCAGGAAGAGGAGGATGAGGAGGAGGAGGAGGAGGAGGAAGAGGAGGTGGAGGAGGCAGAGGACGAGAAGAAGGAGGAGGACAAGAGACATCGGGGAGGAGGAAGGGATGGCGGGGGCGCTCGGGGAGGGCATCGGTTTCACATGAGCTAGCTCTTCCAGCTGTTCACCAGTCAGGCCCGGTCGGTCTCAACGGTTTTCGCCGAGCTTGGCCTCTTACCCAGCACTCCAGCACTCCAGTCGGTTGCTTTACGCCTTACACTCATCCTCATGCTCATTGTCCTCCTCCTTTTTTTCCTTTCGCCGCCTGGCACACATTAGTGCAAGTCTTTGGGTGCGGTTATGTGCCGCCGCGGCCATTGAAACCAATGGCTCGTTGCTTCTGCACAGTGCAGAAGAGAAGCCCCCCCCGCGGGTCGAACTGTACCTGCAGAAGGGTGTCAGCACTAGCGTCCCATGCTGCTGCTCTTCCTCCACCACCCTTCCTCCCCCCTGCCCCATCCCCCCTCTCTCGCGTCCCCATCTTCCCCTCCCCCTCCTCTTTCTCCTCCTCGTCGCATCGCATGATTGGAAGGAACGGCTTCTGCTCGCAAAGAAGACGAGGAAGAGCAGGGGGAGCGGGGAGGGGCGGAGGAAGAACAGCACAAGGGGGTACAGACAGGGGAGAGGGAAGGAGAGAGAGAGAGAGAGAGAAAAAGAAAAATCAACAAAATAACAGACGCGGATGGGGAGAGAGAGGGGGAAGGATGACCAAGGCAATGGTGTTTGTGCATCGGCCAGCCCCTAGGCCAGGTGGGTGAGAAAGAGAAGAAGAAGGAAGAGGAGGCGGAGCAGCTGGAGGAGCCGGAGGAGGGAGGAGGAAGGCGCAGGGCGAGCGGGGGAGGGGGAGCGGAAGGAGGCAGCGAGGGAGGGACTACCAGCCCCCTGCAGCATGGTGTGCCCCGTCCGTATCAATGATTTCTGATTGGCCGTTATCGTATCGGTTTTAATTTTAATGTTTATTCTTTAGAATGGGCCGGCCACGCACCAATAAACGGAAACATACATAGCAACGCGGGCAATATTACCGATTGCCGAATATGATGTAGCCTGAACAATAATTAGTACAGATTTCCTCGTCTGCAGGTCGCCGTTGGATGAAAAAAACGTTGCCGGTGCATGTGCCGACGATCGCAATAATAATTTCGGGTTTTCGTGTGCGGGCGTGCGGGTTCTTATTTGATGGTAGTTATGAAGTGGGAAATATGGAAACCCATGGTGGTAATTATGGAAACCCGTGGTGGTAGTTATGGAAACCCGTGGTGGTAGTTATGAAAACCCGTGGTGGTGAATATGGAAGCCCGTGTCATGTCATGAAGCTTGGGCAGTATCGGAACTTGATGCGAGGCCGACTCATAATGATCAACAACAATAGATGACCGCGGATCCGCGTGAGGGGTGCCACCGAAATTCAAAACATATAGCAAATCC